AGACTATAGACTAGACTATAGACTAGACTATAGACTAGACTATAGACTAGACTATAGACTAGACTATAGACTAGACTATAGACTAGACTATAGACTAGACTATAGACTAGACTATAGACTAGACTATAGACTAGACTTAGACTAGACTATAGACTAGACTATAGACTAGACTATAGACTAGACTATAGACTAGACTATAGACTAGACTATAGACTAGACTATAGACTAGACTATAGACTAGACTATAGACTAGACTATAGACTAGACTATAGACTAGACTATAGACTACACTATAGACCAGACTATAGACTAGACTATAGACTAGACTAGATTATAGACTAGACTATAGACTAGACTAGACTGTAGACTAGACTATAGATTAGACTATAGACTAGACTATAGACTAGACTATAGACTAGACTATAGACTAGACTATAGACTAGACTATAGACTAGACTATAGACTAGACTATAGACTAGACTATAGACTAGACTATAGACTAGACTATAGACTAGACTATAGACTAGACTATAGACTAGACTATAGACTAGACTATAGACTAGACTATAGACTAGACTATAGACTAGACTATAGACTTGACTATAGACTAGACTATAGACTACACTATAGACCAGACTATAGACTAGACTATAGACTAGACTAGATTATAGACTAGACTATAGACTAGACTAGACTAGACTATAGACTAGACTAGACTATAGACTATAGACTATAGACTATAGACTAGACTAGACTATAGACTAGACTATAGTATAGTCTATATAAATCTCTATATATAGACTATAGACTAAACTATAGACTAGACTATAGTCTAGTCTTTAGTCTAGTCTATAGTCTGGTCTATAGTGTAGTCTATATAAATCTCGAATTTGTTTTCCAAATGATTCTGCGTTTTTCTTTTCTTTTGTTTTTTTTCCTTTTCAGATGCAGATGAACGCCTTTCGCGATTCTTGATGATGAGAACATAGCCTGCACAGATCCGGAAGTCCAGCAACTCGTTGGGTATTTTCAACATTGCTCTAGTGCAAGGGAGTCGACATATCGAAGATTGATCTGTCGCTATCGTCGGAATTGCAAACGACCAGATCGACTTCGACAACAATTGACATTTCTGTGTAAGAACGTCCTATTCTAAGCGCCAACAAGAAAGAGGAGAAACTTCACTTAACATAAAGAACAAAACCCAAGACACAATTCCGTTTTGATCAATAAAAATTATTCAAAAATACTAAATAAAAACAATACTAAACCAAATCACTTACAGTTAATGAAAATAAAAACAATAATAAATGTTGGATATTAATCTTTAATTATATGAATGTACATATATCCTGTTAACAAAAAAATAGAATTTTGTCCTCCAAGTAATTTTCTGAAGAGTATTTTGTATGGGACTAGGGTCAAATTAGGCCCGATCATTACGAAAATCGGCAGTGACAATTAGACTTTTACAAAACAAAGTTTTATCGAGTTTTGTTGACATACAGAACATTTAACATAATTATGAGCTCAAAAGTCCAATTAGGGGGGTACGGTTGTATGGGTGTTAAACGAAATAAAGGACCGATTTTAACCATTTTCAATAGGCTTCGTCTTTGGGTCAAATTTCATCAAATTATCTTGAAAATTTCGACCTGTAGCATGGACGGATAGACCGATATAGCTAAATCTACTCAGAAAGTGATACTGGGCCAATTAGTACACTTTGAGGTGGTAAGATGTAGGACTAATATTTTTGGGTGTTACAAACAACAGCACAAACTCAAAATATCCTCCCCACTTTAGTGGTGTAGGGAATAAATATTTGTTTCACAAAGTGTAACAAAGAATATATAAATAACATTTTGTTCAACACACCTTCTCAATTTGTAAAACATTAATATAAGGCCAATAATTTCTCGGAATTTAGCTATATTGATATTATGTAATGGTTTTGTTCAGTAGGGCAGGTTTAAGTCTTTAAATAACAATTTCAGCTAATGAAACGAACTCAGCTTCTGTTGAAGACAATGAAACTTGATTTTGTTTTCTTGCATACGAAATTGTGGCACCTGCTAATTGGAATACGTATCCACTTGTGGCCTTTCTGTCTTTTATATCAACATCAAAATCTGCATCATCTTGAGCACTGTTTCATTTTTTCATTACATTTAAATACTAAAATATTCTTTTAACTTTGTTGTAGGACAGGAAGCTCAGAATTGAAACTTCAACTGTAATATCATGCCTCGTGTTTTAGATAAATACAGTAATGATTCAATTGCTTGTCTGCATAACTGTAATAACAATTTTCCATTAACTTTTTCAACATCAATTCCCAAAAAGTAATTCTTCATAATAATCATATGCTGTTTGTGGACTTCGAAAATGCACCAATTGCGAATCTTCAACCAAGAGTCATATTGTTGAACGAGCTTTACCAACCTTTTGAGGCCAGAATGCATATGGTGTTGCAGGATTATTATTGAAAACTATTTCCCGCAAGCTCTTTTTAATTAGCAAGATTTCCAACTTGTATATCCAAATTTGATAGTTCTCACCATTCAGTTTCTTAACACACGTCTTAATATATTCCATTATTTCAAATTAATTATTTATTACAAATAATCCCACAAACAACAACTCGAAGTGTTACAACAAAAATGCAATTTTTAATATCTTTTAAAATTGAAATAATAAAAATAAAGAAAAAAACAACTAATAATAAAGTTATTTTATTTCAACAACAAAAACTAGAAGTTCTCAACCAAGTAAGTATATATATTCAATCTTTCTGGAGATGTTCTAGTCTACAGTCTTTACTCTAGTCTTTAGTCTAATCTATAGTCTAGTCTTTACTCTAGCCTTTAGTCTAATCTATAGTCTTGGGAACCGTGAAATAGCTCCCAAATGAAATAACTCCAGATGAAGATAATGAAAATTTAGCTTTAAAATTAAATAACTCCTAAAGTGTAAAATGAAATCATTCCCAACAATTGTGAGTTTACGAGTTCTAAAACTTTAAGTAGCAAAAAATTCGAAATAGCATCCCAAAAAATATGAAATATGTAATTTCCAAGACAAACATTTTTGGTCTAAAACAACTCCCAATTAAATAATTCCCAACTAAATTGAAATAACTCCCAACTTGAAGAATTTAATTATGAATGCTTAGAAAATTTATAATGCCTTAAGAAAGTGTGTGTGTGTACCGGACTTCGGCCGTGCGCAAAGATTTTAACTCTCGACCATTTAGGATAGCGGCTTCGCTAAATTAAGTCTTTTCCTGATAAATGTAGTATGTATTTGTAGTCATAGAACTTACGATTGCGTTTAGAATAATAGGAGTAAAAAATTCAAAAATTTTAAATATAAATTTTTTAGTGATAGATTTAGATTTTAATTGAATATTTATATAATTTGTTTATTTAATTTATTCTTTAATTTTTATAATCGTTATTTTAAATATTTAAGAAATTAATTTGAAAAAAAAATATATATTTTTTTTAATTTATATATCTATTGTTCAAAATAATAGGAGAAATCGATATATTTATTTATTTATTTAAATCAAGTAATATATAAAGCCTTAATAGGCCAATCCACAATATTACAAAGGCAAAATCCTCGGTAAAATAATTTTAAAATAAAAAACAAAAAAGACAGGACTTTAATATGTTTAATAAATGAGTAGCAGTACAACAGTCATTTTTGTCAAGATTTTATTTAGAATTTGGGTATATGAGCCTCCGGAACTGAATGTCTTCCCGACAACGGCTTTGAGGGGCTCGAAAACACATGTCGGGGCCGATTATCCACAAACTAATGAAGCTACATATATACAAATATTAATCGGTTTTTATTTTAAACACTTTATAAACAAATATCGTAAAAAATATTAGATTTCCGTAAATGTTTCTTTTTAAAAATAAGCTGCACAATTATTTTGAAGTGTAACTTCTACTTTTTTGAACACAGCTGTATGTCACTATGCTAATGGACAGTATGACATTTTTTAACGTGCCATATGAAACACTTAAAAGTATCACAATGTTCATAAGCGAAATGACTTAAAATACATGGAGTACAAAGAAACGTTAAATTTCGCGAAGCCGGTGATCGAAATATCAAAGAGTTTAAAAACCTCGCGCCCGCCCGAGAATGCATTATCCGAAATAGTTTAGTCTATAGTCTAGTATACAGTGTAGTCTATAATAGTATACATATTTTATTGTTTGATGCATAATAGTAGACAAACTTAATATGTATTTTGCAATGTATTGTTAACTATTAAAATATTCCATACTTGAGATTAATATCAAATCTGAACATACAAAATGTCAACAATATTTGACATACAGGAAAACATTATCACCTCCCAGATATATCTAATTAAGTTTATTTTGTGTCACTGTATTTTCATAAATTATATAAATAAACTTTATATTTTGCAATGTATGTATGTATTGTTTAAATATTTAGTAAAATATTCCATACCTACTTAAGTTTAAAATGAAATCTTAAATAAAGATTATGTCCAAACATTTAACAACAGTAGTACTACGTAGATATAATATCAACATTGTATTCCTGGCAACGTATAATGAAATATTAATTAGAATTGATTCAATGATGTGGACTTTTGTACTTTAAAGAACACGTCATGTTAATACCTTCTATAGCTATTCGGTAAGAGGTAATAAATATCAATTATAGTGTTCCTATATGAGTCAGCTGAGACGATACGTAGGAAAGTGTTTCCTGACGACTTTTCTATAGATTCCATCTTTAACCCATGAAACGAATTGGTGAAACAATAAAACGAAAGCATTTTTACCTTGCATCATTTATATTGTATCAACAACTCATAAATCACTATTGGTAAAGGTCAGTGACATGTTATGGCAATTATAGGAATGTATTCTTTCCCCAAAAACACAAAAGTCCTTGCCCACTGTTCTTATAATTAACTAATAAGAATTTAAAAATTTTCTACTTACTATTTGTCATTTAATCCATTTAAAAATTGACCAAATCTATCTCCCATAGATGCTGCCATTGTTACGATATAATATCGGACTTGTTATTTACAGTTTTTGATAAAAATTTTATAGCTTTTTCTTTAATTGAGTGTAAATTTACAAAAGAAAACGGAGAATTTTGCTTATATTTGTCAGAAAAAAAATTTGATTAAAATTCCTTGTTCTATTTTTTAAGATTTTCTTTAAAGTATTTATATTTTTATAACACTTGTTATGAATACGTTTTTTCTTCTAGATGTTTTCACTTGTGTATTGTTTTTTAACAAATATGACTTCGTATTTATTTATTACTGCAATTGGTATATGAACGAAGTGGTGAAATTGCAAATAGAGCCCTGCGCCAACAAATATTAACGGCGGCTGACACTAAAAATATCGGCGGCGGCTTAAAATCGACTGTAAGCCGCCTAAGTTCTCAAATACGTTTAATTTTTAAATTTTCAAAGATTTTAAATAAAATCGCAATCTGAGAGATAAAAAAGTGGGATTTTGTATATAATTTATAACAACAAAATAGAGCAAGCACAAAAGTTGTGTGAGAAAACATGCAGGGATGGACAAAAAATAAAAAATTTTAAAAAATGAAAAGAAATGATTAATCAGACACAAGCTCACCCCGCTGCATTATCAAGTGCTTACCTTCTCGCTTCTGTTAGAGCAACGGTTCCAAAATGTGGTCGTAGCGAAATCCTAGGGGGTCCGCGAAAACCAACGAAACAAAACCTAAATAAACAATTTTTTTTATTTCTTTTCTACATAATATTTAACAAAATGAACCACAAATGAAGCGTAAAAGCGTAAATTTCTAAGTAAAAAAAGGACAAAACTCGGTATTGCCCCAAATGTATCTTCAGGGACCATCACAAAATCTCAACTGTATTGAGGCCAGTACTTTGGACTGACCATTTAGGGCGGTGTTCTGTGTTCCTGTAAAGTTTTAAAATTTTCCAACAGATGGCATCGAAGTTTTATTTTTTTGTCAATTACACCTTAACCGCTAATTATTTTATAATTTGATGGGTATATAGATTGTCCACATGGCTAATCATGGACCTGCAACGCGGTCCGGGCCCCACTAGTAATTTAATATAATGTCAGGTTTTACAAACATTTTCGATTTAAAATATACATATTTGTGATTTGGCTCAGTTAATAGGTTTTGCAGCCTTATAACACTGAATACACCAGTTTTTAAGATTTGTTTATTTTTTGAAATACTATTTATTTTTGAATAATATTTAACAATTTTATAATTATAAATTAAAACACATATATTTTTTTTTTAATTTATAATATAAATATCACAGAGTTAATTATCACAGTTTTATAACAAAATATTCAATTCAATAGCAGAAAATGTAAAAAGTTTCCAATAAATTTAAAGTTTTAGTTTTATGTTTTAAAGAATTTTTTTCGAAAATTTTCACAAATACTTTAAAATTCATGAAAATTGTAAAATTATATTCAAAATTAGTAAGTTCTAAATTGGAAAAAGAAATTGATTTCCATTGAAAAATTCTATTTTTATGTTCCCCATGATTTAAAGCTTGGAAAAATGTTTTAGAAAATAAGAACACTTCTTAAAAAGGTTATATTCTAATTGCACATTTCAAAAACTTGAAAATTCACGAAAAATTCTAAATTATTTGGAAAAAATTTTTAGTTTGAAATTGGAAAATATAAGATACAAGATTTATATATATTTTTTTTAAATATTCTTTTTCGATCATAACTTTAAATTTTCGAAAATTAAATAATAGTTGATTAAAACAAAAATCAAGTTTTAAGTAAAGAAACCCATGTTTTTTTACTATATTTTCTGATATATTTCGGAACACTCTAATGTTCATATTGAACATATAATAGGAAATTTATGCAAAATTCTGGAAAAATCATAAATAGCGGTTTTTCGAAATTTCGGATATGGATCGATTCTACTGATTTTAAATAGGAATCTTCTCAAAAGCATGTCTGATAGAATTATACAAGATTTGGAAACCAAAGAGGGCTTTAGAAAATTGTATATATGAGCGATGTATATATGGGATCGCAAATAAATTTTTAACCAATTTGGAAGTTTTGAATCAACTAAAAAGTAGTTTAATATTAATAAACTTTGAATAAAATATGTGAAAAATTCTTTAAAAAATTTAAAGAAAATTTGTTTTAATATCAAATAAACTTGCACTGTAGTTAAGAACATTGACCACGTATTTCAGCTCCCACAGAATATGACCAACTCCCCTTAGTTTACTAAACAATTATAAACTTAAAGCAATATGCTTTAGAAAAACTAACTATTAATATTAATAGATTTTTACAATATAAATTAAAAAAATACAGCAATTTTAAGTAATTTTGTTTAATTTTTTTTTAGCTTTTTAAGACTTTTTTTAAATTGATAATATTATATATTTTCTTTTTGTTTTATTAATAAACTGAAATATCAATTTACAAACTAGGTGTGTGTGTTTATATGTAGATAATAATAATAATGAGAAGAAATAAGAATAAGCCGTCGTAATAGTCTCCACGAATATTAATCCATTACAAAAGGCCAGATTTGTAGTTTTTAGTGGTATTGTTGTTTTAAATATTTTGAAGACCATGTTTGCTCTTGTTGTTCTTGTGTACACATTTCTTGTTATAAATTGTATCCTGTTCTCTACGTCCAGTTGAATTATTAATTATTATTGTTATTGTTATTATTGAAAACATTTTACAAATTTTGTTATTAATTTTAAGCATTTCTCAACATTTCAGTTGTTGATGGTAGCTATCCAATCATTATTTTAAATTCTAATCTTCGTTTGACTTTTTTGTATGTATAGTATCAATTATGTTGAAATAATTTCAATTATACATTAAATAAAACGAATTGAAATGACTGTTTTGTTGTATTTCATTGTAGTTTTGTTGTTAATTTCCCTTTCATATAGTGTTGTTGGTGAATGAAGAATATTTATGTTACATCTAAGAAATTTTTTGTTGTTGTTTGTGTGTCTTGTTGCATGTATTTCTAATGCCTTGAACGATGTTCTCTATCACGTTCACGCTCGCGATCACGGTCACGATCACGCTCGCGATCACGATCACGGTCGCGTTCTCTCTCACGATCTGAACCTCGGTAACGTTCTTCGTAGTAACCTCGTTTTGAGGGTGCCTCATTACTGGGATCTCCGCTTGGCTGTTCGGGTGATTTGCGTGCGCGAGCAGATCGGCTGGAGCTATCATCTCTGTAGTGATCATTAGTGCTAGGACGTTCACGTTCGCGACTTCTGCTACGTTCACGATAACTAAAATATGTAGATAAGATTAATAAGTTTGCTTTGAATTAATTTATTAAATTTATGTGTATCATACCCGGCATCACGATCACGATCTCTTTCACGGTCACGTTCTCTTTCTCGTGATCTTTCACGATATCTTGATGATGATCTCTCGCGGCGCGGCCTTTGGCGATGAGATCGCTCGCGGGATCGAGAGCGTTCCCGTCTGTTGTAACTCTTTGTTTCAATGCCATGCAAAGTATCCTGTAGGGAACTTATTAAAATCTTGCAACGTTCATCATGTGCCACTTTCGATTGTTTAATCAGTGAGATTGCTGTAACTAAAGTTTCAATAGCACTGGAATATTCGCCGGCGGCTGCATCGGAGACGGCACGAGCAATGGCCGAACTGCTGACAGTGCGATTGCGACCCATGATTTCTTCAAATTCAGCTTCGCTCAGTTGTGGCCCTAGGGCGGCTTGATCGGGGAAAGGACCTTGAGGTTTGACAGGCCCTGGCGGACCCGGCCAAGGACCACGTGGTGCTCCTTGTTGGGCGAAGTGAGGTGGTGGGCCATGTTGTGGAGGCATATTCATACCTTGCTGAGGACCTGGACCGGGAGGTCCATGTGGCGGACCACCTGCCATTGGTGGTCCACCCGGATGTTGTGGTGGTCCTCCACCAGGTTGATTGAAGAATGCTGGATTGACATGAGGAGCAGGACCGCCTGGTCCGCCATGAGGTCCACCAGGAGGCGGGCCACCTGGACCACCCATTTGAGGTGGACCACCTGGAGGACCTCTAGGAGGTCCTTGCATATGGGGTGGTCCCTGTGGTGGGCCACCGGGTGGACCTTGAGGTGGAAAGCCACCATGCATAGGTGGCCTCCAATCGGGACGAGGGCCACGCATGGGCATACCACCTGGTGGTCCCTGGAACTGAATATTAAAATAACATTAATTACATTTAAACTTTAGCTTAAAATTTGCAAACACACAAAAAAATCCTAAGACCTGAATGATGATTTTTTTTCTTTTTTACAATTTTTTCCTTATTTTACACATGTATCTCAATATTCTGAATGCTTTAACCTTCAAATCGTTATAATTTAGACGTTTTAAAAATAACTTTAACTACTGTAATGAATTAATGAAGTTCTTTACCATTTGTGGCCGTTGTGGTGGTCCATTTAATGGTCCCGGTCTTGGTCCATTAGGCCGTGGTTGTCCAGGCCATTGCGGTTGTTGCTGCCCAAAGCGTGGAGGACCTTGCATACCTTGTTGCGGTACCATTGGTGGTCCTTGGTGCATGGGTGGTTGCTGTTGATGGTTTTTGTTGTGGGAGATGAAAGTGATAGAATTTGTGGAGTTAAACTTGGAATTAGAGATAATTGAATAATAGTAACAATAATAACTAACAAATATCATATTAAACTATAGATTTATATAAAAACTTCTAAATTTTACTACGAATATGTTGATATAGTAGCAAAAGTATAAAATGTAAAAGAAACTGAAAAACATACAAAAATATAGCTTCAAATTGTAACGATTTAATAAAACACTAAAATTGCTATTTTTTAATATTCTTATGTATTAATTATTAGTACATATTATTTAATTTAATTCCTATTGTTATTAGTATTACTGTTTTATAACTACTTTTCCTAGGATTATGTAGTTGACTGAATAATAAACAAAAAAAAAATAAAAATAAATTTATACTTTTCTTGAGCATCCTTTATGAAGTAAAGTTTTTTTCATTTTAACTATAAATATAAAATGCCTTAAACATTATCGATAAATTATTTCTTTATAGACAATTCTCAATAATTTATATAAAATTTTATAAATTTCTAAATCAATTACCGATTTTTTCTTTTAAAAATGTTGAGAAACTCAAATGTAAAGAAGAAAAATACGCTACATCGTTTTATATTCTATACACAAGTCAACAGACTATAAACTAGTAGATAGAATATACAATAGGATAGTCCAGACAAAGGACTAGTTCATAAACAATCCAAAGGAAGCGTCCATAAACCAATCAATGAACAATAAAAAATAGCACTAGTAGACTAGAATTGAAAAATAACTAAACTAGAATTGAACTAGAACTAAGCTAGAACTGAACTAGAACTGAACTAAAACTGAACTAGAACTGAACTAGAACTGAACTAGAACTGAACTAGAACTGAACTAGAACTGAACTAGAACTGAACTAGAACTGAACTAGAACTGAACTAGAACTGAACTAGAACTGAACTAGAACTGAACTAGAACTGAACTAGAACTGAACTAGAACTGAACTAGAACTGAACTAGAACTGAACTAGAACTGAACTAGAACTGAACTAGAACTGAACTAGAACTGAACTAGAACTGAACTAGAACTGAACTAGAACTGAACTAGAACTGAACTAGAACTGAACTAGAACTGAACTAGAACTGAACTAGAACTGAACTAGAACTGAACTAGAACTGAACTAGAACTGAACTAGAACTGAACTAGAACTGAACTAGAACTGAACTAGAACTGAACTAGAACTGAACTAGAACTGAACTAGAACTGAACTAGAACTGAACTAGAACTGAACTAGAACTGAACTAGAACTGAACTAGAACTAAACTAGAACTGAACTAGAACTGAACTAGAACTGAACTAGAACTGAACTAGAACTGAACTATAACTGAACTAGAACTGAACTAGATTTGAACTAGAACTGAACTTGAACTAGAACTGAACTAGAAATGAACTAGAACTGAACTAGAACTGAACTAGAACAAGAACTGAACTATAACGGAACTATAACGGAACTAGAACAGATCTAGAACTAACTAGAACAGATCTAAAACTAAAGATGAACTGAACTAGAACTGTAATAGAATTAACTGCAAAACGTCTTTTGATTATATATCTAACATTGTCAAACCGAAAATAATTGTGGAAGCAAATTTATGATAAAAAAAAATTGGGAAACCCAGCTTTTTGTAAAACAAACATAAAAATTTCGAGTTAAACTTCATTTACGGGAAAATAAAACTATTTTAATTACATTTTAAAACATGTCTAATCTCATGGAAGTTGATAACGAAAACGATTCTGAAGATTTACGTAACATGGATGACGATGATTTACCCACTTGCAGTTCTAAGCGAAAGGGAAAACGTTTTATAATTAAAAAATGGCAGGCACAAGCTTTATGGTCGTGGGATTTAGCCGTCGATAATTGTGCCATATGTCGTAATCAAATAATGGATCTGTGTATTGAATGTCAAGCGAATCCTCTATGTTCGAGTACAAAAGATGAATGTACCGTGGCATGGGGCACTTGTAATCATGCATTTCATTTTCATTGCATTTCACGTTGGTTGAAAACACGTCAAGTATGTCCATTGGATAATAAAGAATGGGATTATCAGAAATATGGCCGTTAAGAGAATTTGATTTAATTTATATTTTGATATGAAATTGTAACATTAGAATACAATAGAATTTTGTTGACAAAGCAACTATATGTATGAATCGACAATGCACTTCTGAATTTTGCATTTTAACTTCTTGAAAACTACGAAATAAAGAATGAAATTTTATCACGTAAAAATTGAACCAGAAATTGAACTAGAAATTATGTAGAACTAAACTGGAACTGAACTAAAACTAAACTAGAATGGAACTAGAACTGAACTGAATTAGAATTAAACTGGAACTGAAATAGAATTAAACTAGAACTGAACTGGCCCTATATATGATGTCTTGTGTCAATTATGGAACGAATTCTACAGAATTGAATTATTTAGTAATAATAAAATTATTTTCTGAAGTATAACTAACTATAAAATTTAGTAACGAGATTTAGATTTTTATAAATTATTGAATTTTACGACAAGCACAAGTGAGAATAAAACATTTACATAGTATATCGAACATGTTTCGAAACTGATTTCATCGTTTCCTATCTGGCAAATAGAACCAAAGCCATTTTACCGTATCAGTAAGCATTCCAATGGCAGGTCTTCTTTTGACAAAAAGCAAAACTTGGTTAATAAGAGTTGGAAAATAGTGAAAATGTGGAAAAAATCATCAGGATATTAATATCAGTTATAATTTATGTCCTGAGCAATCGATAAATGTACTTAGAATATGTATAGTCTGTCAAGTTACAAAATTTTAACATTTCAATTTATGTGACATTTTGAAAAAATGTTCAAAATTTTTAATTTCAAAATTCGATCCAAAACTAAACGATAATACTATAAAATTGAAAAAAAAAATTAAAAAAATATAATTGTTATCCATTTCCTAAAGTCATCAAATATTTCGGATAGAAAATTATGATGTTGTTGTTGTTTATTTTCGCTATCCCAAAAAATAAATATTTCTTTTCATTATAGAATATTTTTCTTTTATTTTTCATTATATATGTATGGTATACAACATGTTTAACACAACTCAAAACTTTTTTTAATTATTTACATTTTTTCAATTGTAAATGCATTATTTTCTTTTGACAATTTTAATGCAATATGTGGTATAACAAATGTAAATACAACAAATGTCGGTAAAATGTAAAGTTAAAACATTTTATTTTTCTTATAAAAAATTCAACTCTCTATAGGCATTTTAAAACATATAAATGCCTTTTTGTAATCAAGGAAAACATTTTAAATGAATTTTTAAAAATATGTATTAATATTACATTAATAAATATCACAACTATTTACATGGAGTATATTAGAAAAATGAAATGATAATAAAAAACATGCTTTTTATTCTTATGGTATTATAGTCATATTATGTTAAAGTAAGAGAAAGAAAAGTAAATATCACATTTTCACAGTTTCTATAAAATATTATAGAACACTTTCTTTTTGGTTTCATTGTTACGAAATAAAAATTTTCTTATTAATTAATAGTAAATAGTACGCAAATTGTAGAACAAATATTTTATGATTTTAATTAAACTTACAACAGAAAAGAAAATTATTTCCAAATTAATTATGCATTTAAATGTATTACATAAAAAAAACAACAAAACAATACGTTCTTTTTGAAACAAGAAAAATAAATAATATTAATTTCTGCATCACAGATTTTGTATACATTTTAAATTTTTGATATTTGAATTGGTTTTTAACACATTGGCTTAAAGTAATGTGAATAGTTTTATATAAAAGAAAAATATTAAATTTAATTGCTCTGAAATACATAATTTTTTTGCTCAAAATACATGTTTAATTTTTTAAAATTATTTCATATTTTAGGCTATAATTTATAATAAATTATGAATATGAATTGAATGAAACTTTTTTAGAAAACAAAAACTTATAACAGGCATTCAGAACAATTGAGATGTTAAAAATTAAAAATACCACAAAATATTTATTAGAAAATAGTAAAAAATATGATAAAAACCACGACCGTTTTATTATAAATAATAATAATACAAAGGTATTAAGAGAAATAAATTAACATAACACAAGAAATTAATCTGAATGCAACTACTACTAAAGATATTATTTATTTTAAAAGACGTTTAAGACAAAAATACAATAATATTTAGGTGGGAAATGGTATAATTTATACACAACATACCTGCATGCGAGATGATCCAGAATTTGGACCAACTGGTGGTCCCAAGGGAGGCATATGCTGTGGTCGAAATTGTCCTGGTGGCATATTCGGGTTCATTAAACGTGGCTGGTGACCAGGTGGTACGCCTTGAGGTGCTCCAGGATGTGGTGGCATGGGACCTCCGGGCATCAGTGGGCCGCCGGGTGTTGGACCGCGTGGTGGTCCATTTTGTTGTGGTGGTGGTACGGGTCGTGTTTTTTGTAGACTCTCAAATTGATTTAAGGCTTGCTTTGTTGGATATGTAACAACTGGCGCCTGGCCATGTAATTCCTTTTTGGGTAAACGTTCTAAAACCAAACGTAAACTAGCCTCCGAGCCTAAGGATACAACACAAAAGCCTTTCGACTGGCCATTTGCACGATTTTCGAAAAATTTTACTTCTTGGAAATCGGTAACACCAATATCACGCATAACATTTGCAATGTCTTGATCGGTGCTCCACTATAAAAATTAGCAAAATTGTAATATTAATAAATTTTATTTACGAAAGTTTTTTTTATAAAAATTTAACTTTTTAAATTTGTTTAGATCAATTGTAATTCAACCTTCATACTTCATTAGATTCCTTAACTATATTCGTTTTAAGTTTATAACAATGAAAACGATGCAGGATTCAGAACCCGATTTAAACGAAAAATTATTAAACGAAGACTTGATATCTATTAAGGAAAAGTTTTCAGTATTAATTTTTGAAAATAATACAAATTTTGGAAAAATGTATGGTTTATCGTAAATGCCTTATACAAATCTTTAAAGTTATCTTAATCTAAAATCGAATGATTATTTAATGATTAATTTGCGATTTAAGCTGTTTAGGACTGTAAACAAGTTATACCTAATAAACCTAACCGAACCATAAAAATAGCTTCGAAATTCTTAAATATCAGCAACAAATCATCAATAAAAATCATGAGATTTGGAAAAAGAAATGTAGATTTCAAATCTAGATAGTAGAGGTTCAGGTTTGTTAAATTTTAAAATTAATTTGTACTTATCAAATAGCATGAAAACATGTATGCATATACATACATACATATTTTAAGACTGATATTTGCAGCAATACAAATTTTGGCGGAAACTATTTGTTTACTATGTAGTTTACTACCTAACTATGCCGTTTACTACCTATGTGTACATAATTAGGTTTTATATTTATAACACATTTTCTATAGAATTCAAACTTTTAACTAAATTTTGTTAAAATATCTCCCAAATTCTATAAAAATCTTTATCAAACTAAAATTAATGCATAACGTACACCATACTCCTATGTATTTTATACAAGTATTACTAATGAACTGGTAAATAGTACTCACCCATGTTAAATTGCCAACATAAAGTTGAAAACGACGTCCCACTTGATTAGGAGCCAAACTACCACTGCCTTGATGGTAAACTCCATTTGAGCCGGCTGTACCGGCCTCATCGGCGCCACTACCAGCCTGGCTGGGACTTTCACCACCAACAGTTACGGCTGCAGTGCCAGTTGTTGTTTCCGGTGGGGCGCCTATATCATCATACAAATCTACACCCTCGGCAGCAAATTCATCCTTAAAATAACAATGATTATATTAAATTTTTGCAATTTACATTATAATATACATATGCATGTAATTTAAAATACATACCTGATTTTGGGCAGAAAAATCTTTATCCAAATCTTCGGCGTAGAGATCTAACACCACGCCGTCAGCCATATTTGCTAACAATTGTTTAAAACTCGTCTATAAGTTCTTAAAAACAATGTGTAGCCCAATAAACATGAAAGTAACTAACAATTTTTTTCACTTCCCTCCTTTTCTTTTACAATAGTTTTAACACATACACACGCTAGCTAATTTTTTCTTTCAAAGTTCTTCTTCTGTGTGAGCACACCTCACCGGTGCCCTGTTATAATTAATTCCACTTTTCCTCTTAGCTGCTTTTGGAAAAAACAGTTTTTATACGTATTTATTCAAGTAGTTTATGGTTTTCACTATTCACAATTTAAAAATAGACTTTATTAAGTATTTTTCATATGCCATTTATGAATTATTTAATATTTTAATAGTAGTTTAACTCTGAACGAAAATCTTCACATGAAAATTTTCATCTGCAAAAAGAAAACTTGTGTAGATTTCTGCATACAAAATGGCTTACCTAAAAAATAGAGTTGCATTTTTACAGAGTTGTTATACGTACTCAGAGTTGTAGCAAAAAGTGTGATCAACAGAAAAAATCGCTAAAATAGGTAGCACTAAAATCTATGTTTAATATATACGTTTTCAAAAGCAAAACTTTAAAAAAGATTTGAACTTTATAAAAATCATCTTTTATTGTTAGAAAATATCTTAATATCCAATATAAATGTTAATTATTTTTCAAATCGCTTTAATCTGTTGACAAGAGGTAACTATTTACCTTGCCATTTTTTACAACCATTAACACGTGTCTGTAAACGAAAAAAAAATACAAAAAAACAAAACAATTGTTTGTTTTCCATTTGTAAACATTCAATTTTAGCTGTAATTTTAAAACACCAGTAAGTACACATTGGGAGCACTTAATTTAATTAGAAAATTTTAACATATTTCTTATTTACCCTAGACATGGACCATCAAATGCAATCCCTGAAAGAATATCTTACCAATATGGTAGTACCCAGCCGACGTGATTGCGTCGACATTAACCCCGAACATATAACAATGCTGCAGGGATCAAAGAGTAAAAAACAATTAAGTCGTAAAAGAAAATCACTAAAATCTACTACACTTAATAGACGAGAATATGCTCAGTTAGGATTACATACCCTACCCACACGACAAATGAAATATACGGAAGCTTTACCCCTACATCGCCTGTGGAAGGGTTATATGAAAGAACATTTGGGTTTACGGGAAGGAGATCAAGTACCTCGATTATATGATGCCGGTTATGATGCATTTAGTAAACTGTTGGTTAAAACCGATTTACATGGTGCCAAAATGTATGTTATGCAGTCAAAATGCCCAACGCTGGTGGGCCTATCGGGTATTGTGGTATTGGATACAAAAAATGTTCTAAAATTATTGGGAAAAGATGATTGTTTACGTACGATTCCAAAAAGTGAATGTGTTTTCGGTATGAAATTGGGAAATATGGAATTTACAATATTTGGTAAACATTTGTGTATACGTCCAGCGGAACGATCCGTTAAGAAAATAAAGAATTTCATTGAACCTTTTGAATAAATATCTCCTGATTTTTGTATTCACTATAGTCATTTTATAGGCTATATATAAAATTAGATAGATGGATAGATAGATGTATAGATAGATAGATAGATAGATAGATAGATAGATAGATAGATAGATAGATAGATAGATAGATAGATAGATAGATAGATAGATAGATAAATAGATAGATAGATAGATAGATAGATAGATAGATAGATAGATAGATAGATAGATAGATAGATAGATAAATAGATAGATAGATAGATAGATAGATAGATAGATAGATAGATAGATAGATAGATAGATAGATAGATAGATAGATAGATAGATAGATAGATAGATAGATAGATAGATGGATAGATAGATAGATAGATAGATAGATAGATAAATAGATAAATAGATAAATAGATAAATAGATAGATAGATAGATAGATAGATAGATAGATAGATAGATAGATAGATAGATAGATTGATTGATTGATTGATAGATAGATAGATAGATAGATAGATAGATAGATAGATAGATAGATAGATAGATAGATAGATAGATAGATAGATAGATAGATAGATAGATAGATAGATAGATAGATAGATAGATAGATAGATAGATAGATAGATAGATAGATAGATACATAGATAAATAGTTAGATATATTTTATTCAAATTTAAGATAAATTTATTAAAATTTTCCACTTTTTAACATGAAAAAAACTTAAAAATATATTTAAAATGTTCATAAATATATAAATTTTCTTTTAAGTGAATTACTTTAAAACAATACAAACCTTGCAACACTTTAGTTCTTTTAAAAAATAAAAAGTGATAATTTTTTTTTTAATTTTTTTATTTCTAAAACTTAACTACACGTTTAAATTATACTAAGTATTACTATATATATAATTTCATTATTATTTATTTACATTACATTTCATTTTTTACTTTAAATTAAATGGCTGTGAACAGTATTAAAAATTTATATTAACAAAAAAATATATTAAAAAATAAAAAATATCGTGGCAGTTAAAATGAATGTGTGTGTGTGTGAAAAAAAAAATAAAATTAAAAAATTAAAAAAAAAAAATTACTACTATGTATTTTAATACAAAATTCCTTAAAATAGAAATTTTATATAAAATATAACTTACAGTTCCATGTTTAAGTTATCTGGGAGGGAATGTTTAAATTGTAATTCGTTTCGAAAATGTTTTCTATCGAAGAGAATTACACAATAACCTTCCCGAGAGTAAATGGTGTAAGTTAGAGCAGTTAATTTGAAATGTGTTTAAATATTTAAACATATTTATTTTTCTTTTGAAATAAAAACAAATAAAAAAGATGAATTCCATTTAACTTATTTGGTTTTTGGATTTTTAATATACATACATATATACACATATTGTATATTAATATGTTATAACAAAGGAACTTTTTTTATATATATAATGAAGATTTTAAACTACTTTAACCCTTTTTGATTTTAAATTTTAAAGAGAAAATTAATTTTCCCTTTTAAGCAAGATGATTTCAAATAATTTTGAATAATTCATTTAAATATTTACAAAAATATTTTTTTGCAATAAAAAAAAAAAAATTAAGTAATTCAATCACATTGAAAATAAATAATAACTAAAAATTAAATGATGCTGTTTTTTGTTAAGCGAAATGAGAAGCTTTTTTATGATTAGTTTTTTTTTAGAGTTAACGTCTTTTTATGTATTTTTTAAGTGTTATTGCTTAAAGCTTGTTGACAGTTTTTCTTTTTGTTGGTGATTTCTTTGTATGTTTTACTTGCAATTTGTGCAATTTCTTTTTTTTATAAAATAAGTTTTTTTTTTGTAATAGAATGCTAATTATTAACTTAATTAAGTAAACCCGTTTGTTGAACATTATCCTTTTTATGTTGGAAGATAAATTATGTTCTAAGTAAAATTTAGAATTTGTATTTTTAGCCCTAAAACAACACATAATCAATAAATTTCTTTAAACAAAATAAATAATAAAAAAATTCAGATAAAAGATTACAATAGAAGAGATATTTTAAAGTAAGTTAAAGATTTTTTAAAATTTCTTTTTTTTTTTAATCAAATAACTTTAAAATAAAAACAAAACCCAATTTAATTCATTTGTTAAAGAAATTAGCCTTTCTTTGTAAAATAGTTTGAGCATAGAAATGTAAGTAATTTAAGTACTTAATAAACTGCCATTTAATTTAAATTTTAAATTATATGGCTGTGATTTTTCCATTGATTTAAGGCCTCTTTATGTGTGTTTGGTATATGGACGCCAAAAACTTGTTTGCATTATTGTTTATTTCATTTTTTTTAACAGCCTCATCCTCATTAGCAGTATTTCAATATAAATCATCTTCCATATTGTGTATTAAAACTTTTTTATCTTCTTTGGTATTGGGGCTATCACGCGCTAAAGTTTGTTGCACCAATTTAGGATCAAAACAAGGCTGTAAATAAGTATGTTTTAAAAATGATCCAATATTTTAAAAACAATTTCCTTTACACTTACCGTATCACAATAGTTCATATTACAACAATTTTCTATAGTTATTTCACATTGTTCGGTAGCCATGGGTCGGTTGGTTAGGGGCGTGTCGGAGGCGGAGGCTGGCTGTCTACGCACCACAAAGGTTTTCTTTATTCTTGGTCTGGCTGGTTTATAGAAACGTCTGACACCATGTACAATTAAGAGTACTAGTGTTAGGCATAATACAACTCCCGCTACTAGTGCTATGATTAGGGTGTTAGTCCAGGTAACTTGATTGCGACACACCTCTAAATGTTTGTAGGTGGGTATGGCATACATTTGAGCAGCCTGCTCGCTTTCTGAGGCCAATTCTTCGCAACTGT